TTGCGTGCAACCTTTACCCCGCCCCGCACGCTTATGGTAATCAATTTGTCTTAAAATTAATGGTCGATTCAAGTGGGTGGTGGATTAAGGTTCATTTTGAGTACATTTTTAAAGAAAACTCTAATTGCAGTTGTCGAACATACACGTGTTTTACTCGCACTGGGAGTTCTGGAGCGGGGGGAATTTGTATGGATTTCCCAACTCCAACAAATTGATCAGAGAAGATTGTTAGAAGATTATTCTGTTTTTTGCAAAAATATTAACTGTACAAAAACGACTGTCTGTCAATGTGGTGCTGCGCCCATTCTAATCATGATTGTGTCGCATTTTTTGGGCATTCAAGACAACGTTCGCAAACCCTTTATTTAACAGTAACTCGCTTAAACTGTCAAGCACTTTGACAAATTTCATATAACTTCATACATATCTGCTTGGCTTTTGTTTTGCAGAGTCGGTGTTTCAGTCAGGTTTTCTGTTGGTTTTTTTACCTCCACATTAAAACGGAAGTCGTTGCAGTCTTCTGCGACATAAATGGAAGAGAAATGTTTCCAGAAACCCAATCGAAGGGAATGCACAGAACAGTTAATACCTGTTGAGGTGCATACCTTCTTCATTGCCATATATGCACGAATTTTACTTCTCGTGAAGTATTTTTCTCATTGGCCTCCTTTTTTGACAACGTTGTAACGGAATAAAATAAAATATGACTTTGCTTTGTTGACTTTCGTTATTGTTGTTATTTTTTAAAAAATGCAATGAAATATTAGACGGATATATTTTCAGTTGAAATCAGAAAATGAAAAACAGGAATATCGATAAATAATTGTAGGTACGTGAGATCTCAATTGTTATGAACAAAACTAATCTAAAATGTGGACAAAGTGGACATCGATGAAGAAATGCAGCATTAACATACGATAACGATATGATCCGATAAAAAATAAAAATGGGAAATTCGTCCTCATCACATGGCAACAAGACTAGCCGGAAATGTCGCAGTTTACCGAATTCGCCAGACGTCAGAAGGTAACATTATGAAATGCACAACACAAATGAAAATCGCATGCAAATTATTTTTTATTTAATTAAACAAAAGAAGACGTTGATGTTGTCGCTTGTTTTTCAAACGAATAATTTCAAAACTGTAATTGAACATGAACACTTTTGAATTTTCTTCGATAAAAAGCAAACACAATCCAATAGACTGGTGGATGAGCACCAAGTGTGTGATGTATATTTGTTCCCACTTCTCCTTCTTTTACATTTGGTGCCATTAGTACTCCCGGAGGTCATGGCAAACTGCCAAAATAATGAACTGAATAATGATCAAATAAGCATACGCACTGTTAATTTTAACTTGGAGAATAATTGCCAGCTGTGTGTTTTCTATTTACCACTGTTAAACGGCCTCCATGGCTACACTTATTTTTTGCTGGAAGACCTGCTCTTATAATTACTTATATATATTTTTAATTATGTTAACGTTGTGGCTTCTCTTAAAATACAATAAGAAATTCTAGAAACTTGCCACAACATGAATTCACATCAATTGAACTTACGAACTCCAAAATGTTGTCTGAAAAAACCGCCATCTTATATTTATGAATTGCAACATCGATTCGTTGCGTGAATATGAATTCAAAACTGTTCTAAAAAATCGCACAAATCATAAGAGTGCTAGTCATTTGTGGGAACAGATCAACCCCCTTTCGTGGATAAAGAAGAAGTGATTCTTTGTGAAATAAATGTCAAATCAGGGTTGAAAATACCCACACCAAATGAAAAGGTCCCACACTTACTTCCTCAAATCACGGGTGGCGGTAATCATAGAGGGTCATAACATCAAATAGATATTTCGCATCTGTATGTGCTTAAACATTTGGAACGTGCTACGTGTTTCCATCCCTGTTATCATAAAGAATGTTCATTCCGGACCACATTATGACAGCTTGAAATAACCGGCAAGGCAGTTTATGTCCAGTGTACCAATTTGTTTGTTACATGAGATCTAAATATAAAATCTGTAAAACATCTGCAGATCTCTCAAAAGAAAACCTCTCCATGTAACAATTATCAATTAGCAAATAATGATTTTATAATTTTTTTCCAATACTTAAAGTGTTAACAATTGAAATTGAAGTGAAATTGGATATGGCACAGTATTGTTGGAGTTAAATCAATTATATAGCCCGGAAACTTTAATATAGGCCCAAGTCCTATTTTTTACATTTCACTGACAGATCAACCGACGTCCGTTTTCGAAGTGGTCCTCCTTGCAGTGGTAGTGGTAGCCACATAACTATCGCCACTGAGGTTTTATGTAAATTAACATTTCTCGAGGAAAAGTCTTTTCCATTTAGCCAAACCGAAAGGAAGCTGGCAACCGTAACACATGTTAAGTACTTCTTCTGCCACACACTTCTGCTAGCCTAAGCGAACACAAACACATCGTCATATGTGTGTGTATGTAGTAACAAAGCAAAGGTAAAATGTGTATCCTTTTAAGCATTCATCATCACTTACAATGCCACTAACAAAAACAAACATAGACATGGTTAAAAATAAATCCTCTTCAGGGAAGACACTTCACACAAGGAGTAGCAACGAATACCAAACAAGAATAACATCCATTAGAACGTTTCAACGTTCTTGACGCTATTCTAATGGAAGCATGTGTTATTGTGTACTCTCACTTGAATTCTTTTCTAGCTTTCAAAAAAACGTATCACGGTTTTACTTTTCACATCTGTTTGTGTGTCGTAAGCCCCGCATTCAGATCTTTGTAAGCTCAGCCACTCTCCCTTCGTTTTAGCAGAAAATGGAAGTACTGTTCCGAAAGCATATTAAACAAAGAACAGTGGCGTGTAAGGTCCCTACCATAGGCCTTGTTCGCGAAATTCCAAAGAAAACTAAAGGCGAAATTTCTAGCCAAGGAAGTTTTAAGCTACCTCCAGTTCTCTGCCTACGTTCAAAATGTATGTCTACTTCAAAGAAAAGCAAACTTCGTGCGGAATGAATCGGCAATTAAATTCATGTTGCACCCAATTGACGTCTTAATTAATACTATAGGATGTTAGTTGTAATTTTGTTATCGCGAAAGAATATGCTTTTTTATTTAATCAATAATTTTAAATATTCCTTTTTCCATTTTACTTAACAAACTGTCGTTAACGTCATTTGCTCAAACAGCATATGCAGAGCAAGAGTTTTAATATCAAAGTAAATAAATCGAAAATAGTATAGCATTATAAAGAAAAACATCGTGTGAAGGCATTTGTGTATATTCAAACATTACCTATCAGCGCATTAAGCTTTGTAGATTCTCGTTAGAGAATTATAATTTAGCCTCCAACAAAAAATATTACTCTTGAATTAATTCATTCACTGACAGCAAAGATGCATTTTATCATCCCATTTGTAATATTTGGAGGTTATTTAACTTTGAAAACATAGTTTTAAACAATTGTGAATGAAGAAACATAATGTATCCAATAGATGAACTTGCATGAGTGAAGTACAGTCAACGCCCGGTATAACGTCTGATATATTGACAGACCCATTCGTTATATCGCGAAGATTTTTTAAGGTGCAATTTTATTTAAAAACAAAAAAGTTAATCCACTTCCACTATATTAATTAACGTAATAACAGTAATAATAACGTGCTTACATATTTTTCATAAGGCTAAGGCCCATTATTTTTTGTCCAATTCGTTATACGCAGTATATAAATTTGGAAAACGTACGTTATATGCGATAGTCAGCGTAAAAAGTCGACTATTTTGCTCATTCGTTATATCCCGAATTCGTTAAACTGAGTATTCGTTATACCGGGCATCGACTGTAATTGCCAAATACACTGTAGTCCTTCAAACTATTTATTCAGATATCGACCGATATTGGCATCCAGTTCTTATACTAGTACGTCCAGGAACTGAGCGATGTGATCTTGGCTCATTTGTTGCAAAATCGGCATAAATAAAAAAAAATGATTTCGTAATTGTGATTTTCAATTTACTCACATCTTATATAGGACAGATGAACTTTTAAAGCTTCTCAAGACATGAAGACTGATATAGCGAACATTAACTCAAAATTCACAATTTTTGATTTATGTCTGTCTTGCAACAAATGAGCAAAATGTGCTCGACGGTATTGAAATAATTCTAACAGCCAAGTCTTGTGACAACGTCGTTCCTGCGACTGGCGACAACCTTTGACAATAATAGTTGCATATTTCCCTGCATTTGGATTCAATTACTTGCAACAACAAATGCACCACACATACCAAAACAACAATTCTATAGATGTATACAAAAGCAAGCATGCTGTAATTTAAATAAACAATGTACCTGTGTATAAAAGCAACGTGTTTGAACAAAAGGCGCTACAGCCGAAGAACGTATTTGGAGCTAGTTAGGCATATACTGCTAACAGTCATCAGAAAACTTTATGGCACACTTGAATTATTCCAGACGGAATTGCGAATCATCTAAAGAAAGCTTGAATTTCCAATGCGTTTAGGTTGACTGCCCTACGCATCAAATAACGTTTTTGCACTACAACCGAACAGGAAAAGAACTTGGGATGTTGGATACCACAGGCATGAACAGTTTCAGATGCCTGTACGGTTGCAGATGTTGTTGACACTAACATAAACTATACACTTGAATCTGGATCTTTGGCGAAGGGAAGTTGAAATTCTAGTTGCCATATTTGATATTGATGTTGTGTACAAAGCGTGTATTACTACTCTGATAAAAGGCGAGAACAAAGTATAAGTACCAATACTCAATAAGTTGTAGTTGTATCACTGAATGATTGTGATGTATATCACCGTTATACGAGCGTATATAAACCCCAGTTGGAATTTCTAGACGGTGTCCCGGCAAGAAATTACTTATTACGGACACATTTGTAATAGAATTACATAAAAAGACAGATAAATAGATTTCTAGTGAATAACAATTAATTTCATGGACTTTCCTCTTTTATTTTCAGACAAATTCCACAAGCTTATACCAAAGCCAATGGTACCGCCATACCATTACCTGCCACAGTTATGGTGCAAAGACGTTGTCCTCCGGACAAAGTAAGACCTCTGCCGCCAACCCCGAACCACGCACCATGTAAGTATTATTCACATCGGCATTCGAATCATTATATTTGAGATTGGTTTCGAATGTATAAATTGAGTAAATGTTTTAAATCTCTCGTTTCATTGCGAGAGTGAACACCTTTCAACCATTCAACGTCAATAATGAAATCACCACCTTCGTGGTTTATCATTTCTTATAGCAATTCCAGGCTTAGGAAAAAGTGGCAGCGAGTTCAAAAACTCCCGTCCAAATAGTCCACCGTCTAACAACCACACTATCCAAAATCTGAAAAGTGGCAATAATAATGAACTTAGGCAACCTTCAATTAAATCGGGAATACCAGCCCCTGGCTCCACACTGCCCACCGTCAATGGCCAACAGAAGCACTCAATGTTGGACAAGCTTAAACTCTTCAACAAGGACAAGCAGCCGCAAAGTCAGCAACATGGCCCGCTTATCAACTCAACAAACAAAAACCAACTGCAATCTAAAAGGACATCTTCATCGTCGGGGTTTTCGTCGGCACGCTCTGAGCGTTCTGATTCGAGTTTAAGTCTTAACGATAGCCACGTCTCACAAATAAAACCGCCTGCCGTGTCAGCAACGGCAACCAATAAAATCAGGGAAACCAAGACCAATGCCAAACAGTCCAAGCTCCTGCAGGCTCAAGGCAAGAAAGACCAGGTGAAAAATGTATCCAAAGCCGATAAGAAAGAGAAAAGTCCTGCAAGATCGTTAAACAAGGAAGACAATGGCGTGGAAAGCAAGACTTCAACATTGAATCGCAACAAGAATTCTTTACCCCGTGGCAAAGATTCGTCCCTGAAGCCCAATTCAAAATCAAATTTGACCTGTAAATCTGAATCAAAAACTTCGCTTATTATACCACCCTCCAAACCCATTCACAGCCCCAATAGTAGTATAGGCGGTCTTCCGAAACCCATTGCAGCCATTAAGGGCACCAGTAAATTACCTCAATCTCCTCTGCAAAATGACAATAAAGGTCGTACGGGCAACACCAGCTCTACACAGGAAATGTTAAAGCGGCAGAAGAGCGACATATCATCCGTATCGAACATATCACAGCCACAAATTCCTAGCAATCACCAGCAACAACCACCGACACATATCGTCAAACCAGTATCCATGACCGAACTACATCAAAACCAACAACAACGATCACCATATTATGCGAATCCTCAACACTTGCAACAGCAGGGAGTAATTCAACAGCAGCAGCAGCAACAGTATCCACCTTCGTATCCTATCCAGGACCCGACGTACAGTCGTTTGCCACCCCCTAAACCTAGTGCCATAGGCACGCCAACCTCGCTACGTAAATTAGAATACAATTCTGGTCCGGGTGTATTACAGCCACAACAACATTCTCCCCTCAGATCCGTGACACCAGCAGTCACTCATTCGCAGCCTGCTACACCCACTTCGCAACAATCGCCCCTTACTAATGGCGGTGCGCCCAACAAATATCACACAATTCCCTCAAAAATTGTGGGCACCATATACGAAGAGGACAAGCCTGTCAGTGTGATACCTATGCGACCTCTACTACGGGGCTATAATTCACATGTTACCCTACCAACACGCGGTGCTCGAGGCACCCACAATTTTATTTCGGAATTCTGTGAAAATGACATCAACCAGGGCTATTGTAGTGATGGCGATTCGCTACGCTTCAGTAATTCCAGATTGGGACATGGTTCCCCACTGCAAGGCTCATCTCGATTTCATGACATTGATAACGGCTATTTGTCGGAAGGCAGCAGTGGCACAGGCCTCAACCACAATGGACACCCCACATCACATGGCAAACATTTTCTAAGTATGATGCGAGCCCGTAGCCAGTTGCCCACCACCATTGAAGAGAGGTAAGTGAATCGGATTTTCCAATTACATAAATGATCTTTGTTTGTAATAGTTGTATTTGTTAGTCCAATAATCGAATTGAATACCAAATCTGCGCTAAATAAAAACTATGAATATTTTCGAATAATCCAGACCGATACTTGGATTATTCGATACATTTTTTGCTAAGAGGCAGTAATTTATCATTCGATTTGAAAAGATTAGTGTCTCATGAATATCTGAATCCAATCACCTCCTTGTGGGTCAAAAACGTTGACCAAGTCGGTAGAATGTGAGGGCGGATATCAATATATTGTGAATCACAATGTTGAAGTGGATATTACTAATGGAAAATTAAAATTTATGTACAAATTGTGTTGTTAAAATTGTCTATATTGACTCGATCCACTAATAACTAATATACGTAAAAATAACTTTAAATATACAAACAATTACTCGTACTCACAAACATCACTCATATGCTCTACAGAGGGTGCGCTATTCTTACCATTTACAATTGTGTGTTTTCATGAGTTACCTTGTGATTTCCATTTTTTTTCCTTCCACTCTAGTCTAGTCAATGCACAAACCTATTTTCCACTTCTTGGAGACTTCTATTTTGAATCAACAAGGGAGCTTTCAGTTTTCGTTATACCTCTTAAAAATGAGTGTATAGTCAAAAATGCACTGATATGTCTCATAAATATTTTATACTTTTTTATGGTATTTTCACACAATGTTCAAACGTTAATTAATTAAAAATAATATTATAATTGTAATAAAAATTTTGAAAACAATGCACACACGTTCGCAGTTTTTTCGAAATAATAGGAATGAGTAAGTAGAGCAAAAGAGAGATTTCAACATACTTTAAATAACAACGGGAATGTGAATTACCAACACCTGAAATGCTTTGACCCGTTTTTATACATACCAATACCAATGCGAGTGAATAGAGCATCTCTGCTGTATGCACAATGCTGGACAAAATTGTCCTTAAATAATTGTTTAGGGAAAGTAAAACAAAGCATTTTTAAAAAATAAATGATATCCGAAGATATCTACAAATTGCGGAAAACGTATCGTTAATCTTTATTTTTGTTTTAACAACAAAAATTTTAAGAGAACACACCATTACAACTGAAATGTTTTGAATAACATTTGAATTTCTGACGTTGTGTTGTAAAATGTCCCAAATTTCGAACGACTATGGGCCGAATGGCATCAAAATTATGGAATGGTGGAAAAAACCTTCTATGTTAGTTAAATCCCAGTAAAGGGCCAAATGTTACAATACGATTACCTATTAAAAAATTAACAAGTTTGTACTTATTATGTTACCTTCGCAAATAAATCGCTCCGCCTATTAGAACTAAGTAATCCTTAAACAAACAAATTATTTTGGCTGTATGATCTGAAATTACTATATTCCGAACATCCTACAGGGTTTTCATCAATAACCTGATTGTTCTAAAATCTTGTTGCAATATAAAATTTTAAATGTTTAACCCTTTGTGGGTTTGAATATAATCTCTAAAACAAAATGTTTTATAGCGTATATTCAATATGCATCAAGTAGATATATAATTTGGATTTCATATGTCAAGTACTGATTATGGACGACACATATCAAAAAAATTCAAAATTTTTGAAAAGTTATGAGTTTTTCAACATAAGTACTATTGTGTACAATACTATTTTGTGTATACAGTCCAAATTATTTAAATCGTTTTGTATTCTGCCATCAGAATTATGTACAAATCTGCCATCAGAATTATTTTTGATTCTTGTAAAAATGAATATAGAGAATAATTTAACATGAATTTTCCGTCGCTTTTGCATTTGGGTTTCTTAATATTGGACTTTAATATTTCCGAAAGAATGTACTGTATATCCCGAATGCAAGGATGTAGCGATGTCAGATTTTGTGCATATCGTATTTAGGATTGTTGCATTAAGTCTGAAAACTGAAGTTTGTTCTAAGAATGCGGAAAAAATTCGAGGCTCAAAGGGTAAATCACCAAAACTGGTGTTGCCTGACAAATGTGGACGGAAGCAAAAACAGTATCAGAAAAAGAAAAACAGGTTACAACTGTCCACACTGGTGAAATGGAATGATAGAGAACATCTGCGATAATAGCCAAATCCCAGGAAAGAGAGAACAATGGCATCAAAATTATGGAATGGTAGCCAAATCCCAAATTACAATCTATACAATACAATCTACCAATTAAAAAAATTACATGTATGCACTTATTATTTTAGCCATGTGTGTAAATTAATCACTTCGCCTATTATGAACATAAGTATTCCTTAAACAAACAAACTACATTTGGGTGTATGATCTGAAATTACTATATTCCGAACATCCTACATGGTTTCTATCAACAACCTGATTGTTCGAAAGTGTTGTTGCAATATAAAAAATCGCTTTTAAATTTAAACGTTAAATCGCCAAAACTGGTCGGCAATACGCCTGTGTTGCCTGACAAACGTGGACGAAAGCAAAAGCAGGCGTATATGCAAAGTATCAGAAAAAGTAAAAAACAAGTTCCATCCGACCACACTCGCATTAATCAGGTTTGATTTGCAATTTTTGTTTGTTTGTTTGTTTTTTTTTTATGAATGAACTGTTGAATGTTTCAGTGGGGTAGAGAGGAAACAAAAGGTTGTCAAAGAGAATTCAAACGAATGCTAGGAAATCGCGTCAAGTTGTTGCTATTTCGAAATTCAAAGAGAACGGAATTGAGCCAGTCCCCATTGCGCTTTTTTTGTTTTATGGAGATTTCAACACACTCTCTTCTATTAATCTACACCAACTATGGGTAAAGTTTGTGCTGACTACTATTTTTTTTTTTTTTATACAGACAGCATCCTTGAAGTAGCTACATATATTGCGAACTAACCGAGAAACGGAGACGAAAGGATTATGCGCAGTAGTTCGCAAAAAGAAAACTATATGTAAAAATAGGGCTGGGGTTCTGACATACGAAAATTCATGCAAAAATATGAATATTTTTAATTTTGGCAACCGTCAACACATTTTCACCGGCGGAGTTCTATAACAGCAATTGTCAACAAATTATTTTTTTCTCGTTGTTACCGTTAATTAACGAAATTTCATTTTTTGGAATTTGAACGGCCATTACCTATTTCTAAAGGTTTGTTTTTGCAAACGTAGGCCGTATTTTTGTAATCTAAACGGTACATTTAAATTTGAAATACAACGTTTATTTCGAATAGTAATGCCATCCACCATACATGAGCTTTTCCCCATACATGCAGTTTCCTCTTAGCCACTCTCTGTCTCTTTGCTTACTCTCCTTGAGAGCAGCGTTGATGCGTTCTCTTAACATTTTTTGATGTTAAAACAAAAATAAACATTAATGAATTTTTTTCCGAAATTTGTTTAATGAATTTATTTTTTGAACTTCCTTGGATATTATTTATGCTTTAAAAATATTAAAATTTATAAATTCCGAAGAATGATTCATGTTTTTATTTTCCCTTAAACATTTTTTAAGAGAAATTTTGCCCACCATTGCTTGAGAGCATGTTTTCTGTCGACTGTGCTCTTAAATAACAAACGCAGAGTCCAACATTTTTTCGGAGAACACAACAGACAAAACATTTCTTGCCGAAGGAAACCACCCTGAAAACGTATTTTGACTTTCGGTTGGTGCGGTCGCAAAGTCTTAACACGAGTCAAGCAATCGAAAATGCGTAAACTCTAAAGAAAAAATAAAATAAAAACCCGACAACGGTATAATTTTGTGGAAAAAATATGAAAAATATATGTATTAATGGCGTTGGCTAACTAAATTAGAGTTTACTGCAGGCTACAATTCGCTACACAATTGTTTAAGTGTCCTTCTTTTTTCGCTTTGCAATGTGATTTGATGTCTCCTTTGTGTGTGTGTGTACGCCTGAGTGTGTTTGAGAAAATAAGTGCTTTAACCTCTAGAAAAGGATTACAGCAATAAGCGTGTCTGTGTGAAATCAAGTAAATATTTAATGCAGCATACTTTTATGACGTCTCATAAAATAGTAGTACGTGCCTAGTTTGCGGCGCCTTTAATTGTGATATTCCGTGTTAAATTAAGTTTGCCCCGAAACAACATTCAGTGCTTGCTGCAATCTCTGTGTGGCCCAAAGGTTGCAGTGGCTGCATATAGCACCTTTATCTTTAATGCCTAAGGTAAAGGTCACGTTGCATGTTATGTGCTTAAAGTGGGTGGGGCTGACTGTTTGATTTCTACTGCATACAAAAGGATTGGAATGTCAACGCTGACCTCCTCGGGCTATAAGTTCATTCTAGTGATTTGTATAATGGAACAAGTGCAACATGATCTTACATTGTCTACATATTTGTCCACATAAGGTAATAAGTACAACATAATAAAACTTTATTTAGAACGTTTGCTGCAAGACGCTATGCATATTGACCAATCATGAACAAGGTAAATTATTGGCATAGTTGCTTATGCCAATTTTCTAGGAAAGACTTTTTCAATTCAACAGTTGTGCACAGACACATGACCCATATACATATAATATTATCGAACAAGTGACATGCAATATTAAAGGCGATTACTTGAAGGACCTCCGTATATCGCACACGGCAAAAACCAACGGTTGTGAGAATGACTTTGTCTTCCAACTTACCATGCAACGAAAGGCAACGGAGTCTTTTTACCTTATCTGTCGAAGTCATATACAAAATGTTCGTTAAATTAGTTGTCAATATGTTAGTGTGTCATAACTTATTTTGCAACCCACAGAGTTCATTGCCCTAATGCGGCAATTTAAACATTAATCGCACGAAGTTTACTCTGATGGTCGCATTCGCTCGATGTCGTCCAGAGCTCATTCGTAGTGGTAGAAGAATGAGCTCCTGTCGAATTTTTGACTTATTACGCAAACTAATACCTGTGTATATGCATTTGAGGGCAATACATGAACTTTATCGACACTAAATGTGGGAACCAACTTTTTTTTGCATTTGAACTGTAAGTTTGCATATGATCCGTAAACGTTTATTTGGAAATTTTTTGTTGATTTTCATTTCGGTAGTACTTGTCTTCATGATATTGTCTGGAACGCTAGGTTATACAAGCATTAGTTTAATAGAAGAAGCATTTTCGAAATGCAATGCAACCTATAGATCGTGATAAATGCTTTTCTGTGATTTTGTAAATTCTATACATTCAAATATACACCATGAGTATTTATATTGGGCGCTAATTGGTATTAAGAAACATTTAGTTTTATAACGTGGCTTAGCTGATCAACAATACACATATTAATATGTAATGTGCTACGAAAACATCACATGGATAATATTCAGATGATACGATTTCAATTGAATTTTTAGCTAAAAACTCATTCCAAAATGACATGTGGAAAATTGAATATGAATCGCTATACCAAATTCAGAATACAGCTTATAAAATACATTATTCAGACCGATATTACTCTTTTGAAAAAATATTATTTATTTTATCCAGGAGCAATTGACAACTTTTGTTTCCTCTGTATTTGTAGAAAGCCACCCTCCTCTTTCTCGGAGTAATATAAGAAACATTCTTCCTCTATTATCCTTAATGTAGAACATTTCCTTTTCTCTCAATGAATTTCCAAACAATATGACGTCATCGGTTAAGCAGTCCGCAGCCGGGTGTTTTTCAGCGTTCAATAGATGTGTATTAAACGAGTAAAACTCGTCGGTACAGAGTTTACAATTTAGACGATGTATGCATGTATGTGCATCTATTCTCTCGTTTGCTTTGTTTTCCGTTCGTTGTGCTCGCCCCTATACACTTTGAAGCACGACTTACAATACGAAAATCCACCACAAAGTTAAAAGAGCAAAAACGAAGGATTGAATCGGTGGTTGGTGATAGCTTGACGCATTTTCAGTGGCACTTCTTATTCTGTAATAAGTAAATCAAAACTCCGATGATATATTTTAGTTTAATACCTAACAGTGTTTATTTTTGAAAGTCAGTAAAGATTCAGGCCGACGGGGTGACCTGATCTCTGTTTCAAATACTTGTCGTACAAAACATTTAAATGCATATGTACTTACCACTACCAAAATTCGAGTGTGCATTATGATATTTGCTGCATATGTCTTGTACGACGCAAGCAAAATGTTAACATAAACCCACACACATGCTCAACTGACCATCCCACCGCTGTGTTGTTCGACAGAAGAGATGTGGGTTTTGTGTATTCGCATGTAATGGAAATCTAAATGGTTTTACTTTGCCGCATAGCAAGTCCAAGTTAGTTCCATAGCACAGTTCCACCTGCGCCCTTGTGGCCTACATTGAATAGTGTGTTATATGAATGTATAACTCAAGCCCTTCCATTTCTTTACATAGCCTTTAGAAAATTGGTTTCCCATAAAGAAATGGACATGATTGGACTACTGTGTTTGCACAGCTTGAATGACATTAAAGTACGAATCGCGCTCATAATGCACTCGACGATAATTCAAAACATCAACTAGTTTCACATATGTGTGTATCAATGCTCATAATAAACTGCCACTGCCTTGTGCCACATGCATACTCGTAGGTGGGCGTAGAGGCAATCACTCACTTCTTCTAAAATACTACTTGTATCATTTTTGCGCGAGTATCAACTAGTTTTCACGCCACATCATCCATATTTGTAGATGGTAAACAAACCAATATCCAGTCAACAACACTCGCCAACAACCGTGAGGTTCAGTCGGCATCATAACCTATTGGAAAAAAAGAAAATCAAATCAACGTTCATAACTTGTTAACTATCGGCGAGACAAGCGTCCATCGTCAATAACAATTGCATGTGGCCGTCATAGAAAATCGATAAGAATATTACAGAAATTAACAACGAAGACGTTGGAAAAACGAAACAAATGAAAAATGGGTCAGAATACACAAACATTTTTTTCTTATTTTTCATTTTTGTTTGGTTCTTGGGCGAACTATGATTTTTATTAATTAAACAAGGCTTAAACAACGCCTGTTATGGATGGAGTATAAGACAAATATATTTTTGGGAATTATTACCGAAGAAAAGAGTTGATTCGGATAAGCGAACACCGTTTAATCCAAAAAAATCGGTTTATTGATCCTAAAAATTATAATCTAATACTTCGGTTAAAAATAAAACCGGTTAATTGAAAATTCATGTAAAGAAAGATTTTTTGTTACGAAAACACAAATACAGTAGAACTTCGGTTTGACGATTATACGATTTAACGACGGGACAATTTTATTACATAGCGTAGCTTTTATGTATAACGATGGCCATCAAAACAACAGTTGTACCCGATGTAACGGTCTCACAGTATGAACCGTGACAATTCCACCTATTCTGTTTATTTGTGAATTTCTTTCAAATTAATTTGCTTGCCATTCCATGTTAGATCGTAGTTCAGTAAGTATTATATTTGTGAAAAGGTCGTAAAGATGTATCTGTAAAGTTTTTACAAACTAAATTTAATTTAACGCAATCGACTACATCGACTATTTAAAGTCTGGTACACACATTACGCAAAATCTAGTAATGGATTGAAATTTCCTTCCTTTGAAAAGGAAGTTTTTAATCGTGCCGGACATGCAGCAAATGGGCCATATTCGCATAAATTCAAGATTCGTATTAAAACTATTTAAAGATGGAAATTACTCAATATGGTAATATTGGTATATTATTAAAAAAGTTTTCTGGAAATTTGTGCAAAGGAGCAAGACAGCAAGAAGTACATAATAGAACATAAAATTATAACATAACAGGGTTTCTTAAATTGTTATAATCAACCTGCAATATTGTCTTCAATCCTTGATATTCTTGTCGACAAACCATCGCGTGGTGTAAACGGTGTTTGCTTTTCAACGTGTATTCCTTGAAATCCCAGCTAATACGAACTTGTTGTTGTTTTCATTAAGAAGTAATATCGATCATTTCGTAATGCTTTTTTGCAGAATTCGAAGCAGTCGTGGCAGTCTAGACAGTTTAGGCACAGGTGCCCCCTCCTCGGCAGCATCACAAGCCAGTTCTAGTGGTGGATCGAACACCAAAATGGATATTACAAATAGTTCAGCCAACAATAGTGCCAACAGTAGTCCCCAACACCATCACAGTAATAGTCCTTCCCACCGCCCATCATCTAGGAATGGCAATAATTGGTCAAAAATGCCCGAAGCATTGAATGGACAAAAAACTGAACACAAGGAAAAATCTTCTCCTTCCAGACGTAGCGTTGGAAATTCATCTTCCAAACAAAGTTCATCCTCCTCTAGTCGCACTAAAGGAGTTCCACCCAGCTTTGGCTACGTCAAACGTTCCAATGGGACTGCCACTTCTACCGCAGAGCAACAAAATATTGCCATGATGATGAATGCAATGGGTAATTGTAGCCCCCAAAATGGACGCAGTACAGCCCATGTTTCGGCAGTGCCAAGAACTGGAGCCCCTGGTGGGCGTAAAATGTCGGGAGGAGCTCAAACTCTACCACATGACGTGTCAAGTAAGTATCTACTTTGGAGTGGTTTGGGTGTACGTTTTATGTAATAATGCCTATCTGAATTTCAGAAATGCCGCCCACAACACAACACCGCAGTTATTCTCTAACAGGGCCGGGAGCCACACAACTCAGTCAATGTATCCGTGAACGTCTTGCTGGCTCGCATAGCCTGCCCAAACCTGGTTCGGACATGCATGTCTTTCAACATAGGTATTTTTAGTTTTTACGTTTTATCAAATAGTCCTAGTCGTTATCTATAATTTTTGTGTAGTACATGGACATTCATTAATTCATTAACTTTGTTTTCCATTAGGTTATCCAATCGATCAGGCAAAATGTTGGATGGCTCATTATCCGACACCCAAACATATGCTGAAGTCAAACCCGAGTATAGCAGCTACGCCATGTGGTTAAAGCATAGCAATACGGCGGGAAGTCGTCTATCTGATGGCGATTCTTTGGAAAATATGCACATTGCCTCGCCATCCATGTCCAGGCACAATCAAAAGTTGATGCAACAACGAGCCGCCGCAGCTGCAGCAGGAAATGCGACCGCAAATACGGCTACAATGGCTGGTACAGAGTCCCCGTATGTGCAGAGTCCACGTCTGAACCGCAGTAATAGCATAAGGTGAGTCAAGTGTATTATGAAGAGTAGATTTGTGTTTAGAATCCCTAGCACGGGACTAGGCCTATTGCACCACAATGCACATGCCAAATTCTGACTTTTAAATATATTCCTCTTATTTCATCCTGGTAAAAAACTGAAGCTACTTGAAAGAAAGGACATATCCAAGGTGATTCATATTACAAAAATCATTCAGAATACCTGCTTCTCGCTTTCTAGAACTATTTTCGCTTTGTTCTTGTTTTTATAAACGTCATTTATGTATTTGTCCTATAACTGCATTAGGCATCCTAAATTATGGTTGGCGATGTCGTGTCGAAAATAGTACAGTGTACGACAACTCGGTATTATGAATGTTGTTGCAATGCGATTATAAATTCAAACGACTACGACAAAGTCTAATAATGATGTTTAATTTTATATTTCCTTCGAAGAACTAAAGTTAGCATTTTTATACCCTACACAACTATGTTGTCAGGTTATCATTGTACTCCTTCAGTCATTTAAATATCTCTAAACTCACGTTTACATCAGTCAGTATGCATAACGCAATGGAACATATAGCTCTGCAACGCACATATTAGCTTCAAATTGATGCATATGTGATCATGCTTGCGCCACAGCATACTTTCGAGTGCTCTTTCTTTGGGGGGTGGATCGTTAATGTAAGGGTGGGAGATAGAGATGAGCAGTCATTGCAAGTTACTTCTTTTTTACATTTTACTTCTAAGAACTGAAACCCGATACGTCCATTTTAGGTTCTGATGTATATCTTGCTTTTCTAGTAATTTTTGTAAAACATATTAAGTTATATATTCTAACATGTTTAAGGGGCACAAAGCCACACAAAAATGAATTCCACTTAACAATATATTGTAAATAAATCAAACACAAATTCCTAAATATCTCTATATAAGAAAAAGTGGACTTAAACCACTTTCAAAATAAATGAATCATTTATAGCAGAATTCTAAATATGTAGTTTATCTGAGGTGTTCATCTGATGCGTATTGCAAAAGGACTTGTTTTAGCACTCATGTAAAACGAGTAATTTATTTCTGTATATTTTTCTTGCAAGTTATATGACAGTTTTTATTTATTATTATTTATTTATTATTATTATTATTTTTCTAACCATCCCCCTCCAAATTTTAATTCCTTTAGATCTACTAAATCCGAACAAATGTATCCACCTATGATTTCAAGAGGGTCCGAAGTTGAAATAGAACCATATTATTGCCTACCAGTGGGTGCAACCCACAATGGAGTAATTTCAGCTCAAATGGCTGCAGCTGCGGCTGCGGCTGCCGCTAATGCTCAATCATCCGCAGCTTCCGGAAATACAGTTACGTGGAGTCAACCAACATCGCCCACTCCCGTTAATCGTGGATTTGCTGGTCCGATGTCACCCACACACTGCAATGCTGCGGCCATGTCGAATATGAGTGGAGCAGCGGGTCACCGACTAACAAATCCCAAGAAGAATGACGAAGGTAACAATAGCAATTGTTTTATAAGATTCTGAGCAGCATTTTACATACCGATATAATTTTTTATACATTTCAGTTCACGGCAGTGCAGCTTCATTACTGTCTGGAGGCAGCTCGTTATATGGAACTTCAGAAGAGAGACAAGCTCACGAAATACGTCGGCTAAAACGAGAGCTAATGGAAGCCCGAGAACAAGTCCTGAGTCTTAGCAGTCAGCTGTCAACAAATGTAAGTTTGCTGTAGCAACACATATCTTTATATAGTTCATAAACATCCGTGAGTACCGCCTGAAGACTAGCTTTGGGCGAGGAAGGATTTCATAATTGTTTTATGGGAAACGAACTGTTTCAGTTTTACGAATACATTGAGCGGATAAACTAGTGTGCAGTGCTTTCTATGCATTACTAGTGGCAATTGGTGAAACTTGTTGTCTTAGACAGCCGCTCAATAATTCTATGTTACGAGTGCAAATTTTTTCTCTAATGCAAACGACATTGGACTAACGCAGGGTTAGTCCAATGTTTCACCAGTTTGAATAGATTTTCCAAAATGTCCACTAATACACTCTAATAGTCGTCTTTCTTCTCTACCAATGGACGAAAACAGCACACAGCGTTAACTATAGTCGTTGTAATCTTGTGAAATCTTGTTTTGCACCTTAACACGAAGACGGTCCAAAATTAGGAGATATTAAAATATTCCCTGAAGGAAATGTGGGGTGTTGAATCGCTTTTGTCTACTATTGTGGTGACATGTTTCTATATTTTCAAAAACTTGTCTACTGCAACGGCCTACTACTGAGTATGGTTATGCTTCTTCTTATTTTTATTTTATTAGAAATCATTTTGGCGGCAGAAGAAATAAATTTGGTTAAAAACGCGAATTTAAAGTTATTATTAATGTAATTAATAATTAATTGATGAAGAAAATTTTTGAGCAAAAAGATTTACAACTGACATATGCGACCTTCTGTCTATATCTACAAACAATTGACTTATTACTGACAGTGTCCACACATGTGACACTGTGTCTACATCTACAAACTACTGACTTACTACTGACCATGTCACTAGTCCATTCTCAATGACAAGCACGTGTTAAATGTCAATAGCATTGGGGACAATGTCAATAGTAAGTCAGTAGTGATTCACCATAGACATTTCCTACAGGGTTCTTTTCCACGAGAGGTGGTAGTAGATGATTGGATTTTTCCGATTGCCACTATAAAAAAACATGTCATTAATGTACACATATTGACATTTAAATGGTTTGGGAAAAACAAACGTAAAAGTGATTGCACAAAAATAAGGCTGATATAATTCTATTTAAATAAGATGTTCCATTCCATTCAAGAATTTCACTTCAGTTTCATGTCAGGTAATATAAAAATCCTGAGAAAATAGTCAACTATTTTGGACGAAATTTTGTTTTTTTTTATTGTATACACAAAGGTACAATAATACAAGGTAACTGCAAAACTACAACAAATACAACTCAACAAAAGTCCATAAAATATAAAAAATTGTACATAGTCTCTTTAGTGAGCCGTATTTATGATTTGAAAACAAGAACTGTTATTAAGTTTTTCTCTTTCGAGTTGAGCTAAATGATCCGAATATGTAATGAAATTTAATTTTTTGAATTGTAAATTAATATCTTTGATGTTTAAATGAAACTCTACGACTTTCAAATGGAAATATACAAATTTAGAATTCCATATTAAAATTATAAATTAGATGTTGTAGATTACAATTACATTCTCGATGAATTGCAAATGGAATTTCGAATGAAATTATCAAATTGCATTTGAAAGCTCAAAAAATCATTGTTTTTGCTATATATCGGTAGTTTTTGTCGCTTACATATTTTTCGTTGTCACAAAACTAAACAATTACTCCTCAGAGTGGTGTTTGCAATAAAAAAATCGCAGCATAAAGTACAATGTCTTCATTAATTATTGTTCATTAATTTTCGTGAAAATGCAAACTTTGGATGTTTATTCGACTGTTGACAGTTAAAATCTTTATCGGTTCACGTTTTGGTAAAGCTCCCACATACCAGTACTGTTCACTGTACCGGTACTACAAAATGAAAAAATTCGCTGTTGCAAACATAAATTTAATGTGAAAAAAATTTATTTCGGCCCCCTCTGTGTACGTCCTTGGGTTATAACGAACTTCGTCTATAGCGAATACTTTTCGTGGTCCCAACGTTTTAAGAGATATTTTTCATACAATTATTAACTCTTATAACGAACTACAGATATAGCGAACTTTTTTATAACGAACTATTTATTCCGTCCCAACATTAAATTTTCAAACTTTTAATTTGGTTATAACGAACTTACTGCCAATATACGTAATACTGACGATGACAATCTTCACAAAAGTTAGTTTTTACTCTAACGCTGGCAACCTTTACAAAAAAATATCAGCTGTAACGTCATGTCCATGAATGAGAAGAGAAAAATTGTCAAAAAGCCAAAAAAAACCTACCCGTTTCTAACTAAATATATACTTTTTCTGCGAAGCCTATGTTTTGCTTTACCTTGGATATAACGAACTTCTTCTATAACGAACTAATTTGCTTGGCCCTACTAGTTCGCTGTAACCGTACTCGACTGTATCAATAAACGCTGTACATTTGTACCCATCCAAATTAAGCGCTGTAATTCATCAAATGATCACTGCACTTAAATGTAGACTAATTTTTAATGAATTACAAGCTAAATTTTGGATGGGTACAAATGTACCACCATTATTGATCTACGTAGGCAATAATCTTAAAATACATATGTATATAAAAACTATATATGGTAAATGTTTACAATTTTTTTTCATCAATTAGAGGTAAAACACCTCGAGAATGATTCCTCAAAAATGTATCCAAATATATCCATTATTGAAAATTATACAACAGTTTTAATCAAAAAAGGTGAAAATACAAAGTGTACTTACATTAAAACGGGTTTTGCTCTAATCTCATAACGGTTCAAGATAGCATCTTTCTATTTTGAGGATAAGCATATTCTTTGTCGAATAACATCAAAAAACCAAAATAGAAAAACGGGAAGGGCTCGATATGCTTTTGATAACAGTATAATTGGACGTCTTAATTGAACACTATTCACTAATGACCCTTAAAACGGAATGCATAGTCTAGCAATAAATATTTGTGGCATTTGCTAAAAGAACCGATGTGGTTTCTACCTCGTACACACTCTCAGAGAAATCAGTTGTTGCAAACCAAATTGGAACATTTTTGGGTAAAACTTTCTCAAACCTCGATTATGTCTTTTCTCTTCCATGATGTCTTTTCTATCGGCATTCAATGCATTTCTCTGCGATTGTTGCCACCAATGCTTCTTGCATTGATGGAATATTGCCACAAAGCCATAACTTTTAACGACACAGAAGTGTTAGATATCTCAACACCAATAGAAAACCTCCAATTTCCTTTAGATGGTTTCGCATTGGCTCGTACGAGCACCCAGCCAGCAGCCCAAAGGCGACCCACAAACATTGTACGCAGCATTTACAGCTACAGCATTCGTAGTTCGATACCATAAAAGTGTGCGGTACAAACATCGTTGCGGTATTCAATGGCATCATGGGTATTTCATTTCACATTTTTACCTTCGATGACGACAACGTACAAGGAGCTCGCATGGAAGGAAGATTCATGCGAACAAAGCGAGAGTTACCGACAAACTGATGCACTTTAAAGAGCATGCTAGCATCCGCAATACGAAGTTGCTAACAATGGATAGTAGACATTGCTGAAATGACCAGGTTTTTATTTTAAAATGCATTGCGGGCCTGCGTCATTTAGGTTGTGGTAAGCGCAATGACTTTAAAAATGAGAATGCCATGCCGCCGTTTAAATTTATTCCATCAAATGGGATCGGTAAATATCGACTGAGGGTCTGAAATCCCCTGAACAATATAAAGCCCACTCTCTTCCCGTCTACCGGATACATTTATTCTTCATATGAATCATTTGTGTGACCATGAGTGTCACACAAAGTCCCTTAACATGATGGTCCGTTGGGAAAACCAATTTTGAATTATTTCACTTTGGGGCGATAATGGGAAATGTTGAATGCAGAAATCAGAAAATATATGCGCGAACATCTTCATTCGCGATAATAATAGGAGCAAATTGTGGAATCACCTACACGTTTACACGATAGCATGCTACTCGTTTATTATGAAAATATACAAGGTTATCTACAAACAAAATCAGAACCTGTCCATCGTCGCCGCTCCAATAGCGACTATTACGATAAGGAAGTAAAGTATATAGAATGTTGTTGGGAAATATGTTCACCAAATAAAAAGTGGCAAGTTTTTTTATGTCTGTATAAAATAAGAAATTACACATGAACATTTCGCCGAAGTGGAGAGAAAATGTGTGTGGTGGTTCGCAATGAAGTTCGCAATTCATACACAGTGATTCTACTGGTAAAAGAAAAGCATATTGTTACCCTATCTTACAGTTTGAAGACCTAGTTCGATCTATCTTGTAATAATGTCCAAATGTGAGCGGATCGTATGTTCAATGGTGGTTAAGGCCTTATCTCGAGGCAAGACTGCATGGTTGGCAATTGGATTACATTAGCATTGCATCAGATATTTATAAAACAACACAGTCGAAACAACATTTAAAGATTATTGAGCCATGCCCTACGACTACTTTTGAAAGTCAGTTACGCTATCTTATCGTTGGTAGAGACGCATACAAACGATTGCCAAGTGCTGTGGCGTTCACAGCATAAACAACAAAATCACATTGGAATATTTTTGAAGGTGATTACACTGATTGTTAGACCTACCGAATTAAAATTTGGTTTTCATACCTGCTTTATGGCTGTTGTCGAAGGCATAATAGTCCATAGTAAAAATTCAATTTAAATTAAAACAATGTGTCATATTCCCCCAAAATAAAACTTAGACCACAAATTCTGATTTTTACTGGAATACAGTTTGATTAAATCGAGAACTATCGATTATGATAAAAATCGAACATAGATGATGGCGAGGAAATATAAATATGTATGTACACTGGGGTTATGCCTTTTTGTCTAAGATTGATAAAATCTTAATGGTGGGCTTAGTGCATATATGAAAACCTCGCGTCCAAAGCCAATTGAAAAAAATTATGAGAATTTCTACGAATTTTTGAAAGTTGGATTGAATCATTAAGGGTTTCAGCGTTCGTTACAAAGA